AACCAGACCAACTGTTACGTCTGTGCAGAACATGAAGTCCCTCCTTGCCCTACCCATGTCCTTCAAACATAACAAAGTGGAAACGCAGAAGCAAGAAGATAAGCTGTGGTAGTGTTTCCTCACTGGCAGCAAGGCAGGGTTAAGCAACAGAGTATATGAAGCAGTTTCGGTGAGATGAAGAGTAAGTTCTGGACTATTTTCCTTTAATCTCTGCGACACCTGCCATGAGGCTCCCGTATCTTTGAGCCTGAGAAGGCCTCATTTTGTTCAGTTCAGTTTGATTGCTGCCTTTAAATATGTGTGGAAAAAAAAAAAAAAAAGAAAAGACAAACAGCAAAACCCATCTGCATGAAACCAGATTTGATATTTTCTCCCTCTCTTAAAGTGATCCCATGAATTTCTTGCATTGTTGCATCCCATGTACTGAGGATCCCATGCAGAGAGCAGACAATAAAGCAGCGAGAAGACAGATGCTCCGCTAATGGGAAACCAAGGAGAGGAGAGTCTGTGAGGGATTACAGGCAGCCTGGGGTTGGAATACATTATTAGCATAGCACCCAATTCAGAAATTAGTTTTCAGAATTAAATGCCTGAGGCGTTTTGGCAAAAACTCCTGATCATCCCTCTCAGAAGCCCTTAAAGCATAAAAGAGTAGGAATCTCAAGTCTGGGCTGAGCAGTCACACTGGGTGAGTTTGCAGTGCAGTAACAATGAATTGTAGTTTTTATGGCTTCATACCATTACCGGGGCAGCAACTGCCCCACCTACTGAAATGTAACCCTCTCGATCTGCTTGCACAAACCTTTAGCAGGTTTTGAACATCCTCATCAAAGAAGAAAGCAGGCTTGAATGAGATTCCAGGATCTGTTTCCAGGAGGGAGGTTTTGTTTTGTTGAGTGCATAACAGCAGGGAAGTGCATCAGCCTCTCCTTGGGCACGGTTAGGCATGTGAAGGAGAAGCAGCAAGATGTCTTTTCAGAGATCTGGCGTTGCCTGAGGTAGAAATTTGGGGTCCTGCAGCCTTTTTCAGGCATGCTATTTTCTGAATGCTTTTTGCTTTAGAAAACAGCGATAAGAAGATCAAACTTTAAAAGACCCCGTGTAGACAACCAGGCTTGGTTACAGGACTGAGGGCAGACAGGAGAAATTGTTTCTCATAGTACTTAGTGGGATTATCCTCCATGCATAATTGTTCATTATATGCTCAAAATTCATTGTTAATTTCTTTTGGATGTATTGCACATTAGACAGAAGAGTTGTAAACCCCAAGATTATCACAGGGGTGATATCACTAAGAGGCCTAAATATTCGGGACAGAAGGGGACTTGTTTTCCTCTTGCATTGAAACAAAGACTCTTGGACAGAATCATTAGAGAGGTTTTTTTGCCTGTTTGATAATCAAAGTATATTGGACAGCAAACAAAAGAAAGGCTCAGCAAACCAAGTCTTCTACTTTATTTTTACTCTTCTAACATAATCAACATATTTCTCAAGGTTTATTTAGTTTCCCAGAGTCTTAAAAGTATCATTGGGAAGCTTGATTACAGGGTCTTGATTCATGCACATGAAGTGTCATTTTGTTATCCTGGGAGGACAAGGTAAATATGGGAGGAAACACCTGGGACCAAACTAAGAAATCAGGAAAAATACCATGCCAACTCTTCAAGATACACTTGTTTTCTTTGCATCATGGTAACTAGCATCTTATTTCTAAGTCACAGAAGCGAGAGTAGAGGGTAATAGTTAATTTTCATCTTTGAATCTTAGAGGTGTTCTTTTAATAGCAACTTCTTTCAAAGTTTTTATATATACTTAATGAGTATCTATAATGAATATTTGGGAAAGTTGAAAATTAAGCTTCTTATGTGTCCTGGGTACAGACTGTCTGTAGACTTCTGGACATTTCTGTCTAGTTGGAGACTGGTTTGTATTTACGTCATTGTACTGGTCTGCCAACAAAATTAAAAAAAAAAAAAAAAAAGAAAAAAGCCCCCCCAAAAAGCCTGGCACGTACAAAACCTCATAGAGTAAGTCTAGAACTGGGCCCAGAACTGCTTACATCCCAAACAAAACTGCAATATAAAATACCCTGTGCACAGGAAGCATAGCTGTGAGTTGGCGGCTTCTCCACAAGGCTCTTGCCTATCAGCCCGTATTACTTCACTGTTTCACTTCAATTTGTTTTTCACGTCTCCAGGTTGTGAGGGGGGGCTGGTGTGTGCAAAAGCTCATTTTCCCCACTCCAACTGTGTCAGTAATAAAAGAGGCTACAGGTCTGTAGAGCATAACCTCCTCTTCTCTTGCAGTTACCTAGTTAGTTCACAAGGTCTGGGGGACCAGTGCTTCTTCCACCCAGCCACATCGGGCATCCACCACTGGGGAAGCTCTTGGGTGTGCTGAGAGATAATAAAGAGGCCATTCTGCCTTGTCTGCAGTCTCGAGCAAGTAACAACTTCTCATTGCACACACAGGATTTCTGAAGGTTAATAATAATAAAATGCTTCAAAGACAGAGGTTGCCAATTTTAATTAGTATTTTAAGACTTCATTGGTAAGCTCTGCTTCTAAAATTGAAAACTTAGCACAAGAGCCCTGTTTGAAGTCTCCAAGTTAAGAACAAACACTGCAAAGCAGAAGTTGACAAGTAGAGAAAATTATTTATTATTTACATTTAAACACCAGTCTTCACATTATTACCATCATGTAGGAAACTGCTGCAGGGATCTGAGGCTGTTTTCTCTGTTCCAGGCCAAGTAGATTTAAAACACAAGCAGAGATGAATCCAAAACTCTGATCTCACTGTTTGTCTGGGATCAAGACTGTGATCAGAAGAGAGTGTAGTGATAAAGGACAACTCCCCAAACCCATGAAATATGTTATCACTGCTATTAGACTTACTGCCCTTTTGCAAAGTCTTAATTGGGTAATCCAGTTCTGGTTGTGTTTGACAAATAACAATTCTCTTGTTAAAAACAAATCATGGTTTTAATTTAATAGGGTTAGTCATATAAAGAGTGATTTTGTGTCAGCAAAACCTTTCTTTCTGACAAACGGTCTAATTTATGACAATCTAGTTAGCAATAAATGACATTATTCTGACCACTATACCACTCTGTTCCAGGGGAGTAATGTTCCCTCTTAATCAATAGCTGGGCAAATGCTCCTTTGCATTCCTTATCAAATGACAGCCAGATGGAGCGGGTAAATTCATTCCAGCAGGATTTTAGAATTAGCTGGGTTTGTACTATTGTTAATCTTCTGCTGTCTGCGCCACTTGGACCTACCCACCTGTTTCCAGTAACCCTCGAGTTTGCAACCTTAGGAAATAGTCTAGCCAGATGGTTACTCAGATACAGTGCAGCCAAGAAGCATCCCAATCAGTGAAGCCTTTTGTTCTGCATCTCTAAGAAAAAGGCAAACCGGTATCTTGTAGTAATAGCCAGCTAGGACTGTCTGACTCTGTATTTGTTCCTGAGCACCCAAGTCTCTTTCCATGAAGTTTCAGTTTCTTAGGATTACATAAACTGTGTTACTCAGTGTGCAGTAAATCTGGAGCTGTGACAGCTTCCATACTGTCGTACACTGACTTTCTGGGCTCGTCAGAGAGTCTGCGAGATCTTTTCCTTTATAATTACTCTGTTGCATAGCAACAATAGTTTTGTCTCCAGTGTATTGATTGGAAATAGTATGTGATCCTCTAACACCAATAAAAAGGAAAACATACGGCAGCTCTAGGCAGGAACCACTTGCTTGTGAAGTGAGAGGACAGTTAATCTACACTAAATCAAGGGGCGATGGAGCAAGCCCTAAGCTCTGTTGGGATGAGGCTCTGAAGATGCATTAGATGCATGAGCCAGTTAACCTGTGCTCTGGGAGTAGAGTCCAGCTTACAGTCATTCTCCCCATTCCCTCTCTTTTATCTTGTGCAACTGAAGTACATTTCAGGTGAGCTTTGCTACAACCTTAATTGCTGAAATAAGCATCACTCTACAGTACCATACAAATAACTGGGCACCCCTTCCCTCTGGCAGGAAAGAGTGAGCACCACTTTGCTTATATGGGACTGCAGTGGCTGAGGGTACAGTTCAGCCACCGCAAATACCAGTTTCAGAATTACACGGCTGGAGTTCCTCTTGCCTGTAGGGCAGTTGTTCGGTACGTCAGTTGTCTGGCCTGATAACCTTGGTATTTTTTGTACACTTCTAAACACAAGGCTAAAGACAGGCTTTGGCATCTGCTTTGGGGACGCAAATACAAGTTAAGGTCAAAATGACTGAGGCAGGGAACATAGAGCTTTGGTCCCAGGTAGGCCGACTCCCTGCTGCTGTGCCCCTGGCATTTGAACCCGAGAGGGCTCTGCTGCCAGGCATGCCCAGCCTTCCCATTTCCCACTGAAGGCTGGAGCATAGGCTGGTGGATGGGGTTTGTATCGTCTTTCTGAGGTACCTCACTGTTCACATTGTGCAGGGAGCCCGAGCTCCTATGATTGGACTTTCAGCTTCTTCCCTGGATGAAATGCCTGGTATCCATGAGACAGCTAAATCCTCCTTGGGCCTGCATTCATTTTTCTAGCCTGCATGTAAGAGTGAAATATAGGTCAATATCTGAGATCAATAAACATCTGTTCACTAATTTGAACAGGAGTTGAGAGGGAAGTCCTGTGTTATTTACTTACACAATAGTATTAACCAGAAGAGTTAAGTCAAGTGAGTTCTAACACACCAAACTTGACAATTGGGCTTCCAAAATAAAAATCAAACTTTAAAATAATATTGCTGCTTTGAAAATCTCAATGGAAACCTTGCAGGGGAAAGCCAAGCTGGTATCTGAGCATGCTGCAAGAGCAAAACAAAGGCTTCTACTATGTCCCAAACATATTGTATAAGTTTGTTGCCATATAGATAGCACAGGCTGGAAAATAGCATAGCACTCACTTAAAAGGTATTTCTGCAGCTAGAGGAGTGGGTACTAATAATCCTCTCTTTTCTGTCGTTTGAATAGTATTCAGGTTTTCAGCAAACAGCGGACAAGTGCTTTGTTTGTGGACACCTCATAATGGAAATGGTAAGAGACCTAAATCCCTAACCGTGGAGCAGCTTGCTGTTCGTGTACTTCAGGCCCTGCACTGTGAGACATTGTGCTTTTCACTAGTCAGACTGTCATTGTGTTCTCACCACTTTCAATTATCATTTGAAACTTAGGCAGTAAATAAACAGAAATACCTTTATGCTCTATTACTTTTAAAGTACAGTAAGTTGGTCTTCTTTTCTAGCTGAGATCATGGAAGGCTGTTGTTCTGCCACATGCCAGTTTAAGAACAAAAAGATAAATGGAATTTTAATATTAAGGAGGGAAAATACAGCACAGCTTTGTATGAGAACATGGTAAAGGAAAATAGGGTGTGCTCTGTAAGACAGTAGAATAGCAAGAGCTTGGTCAGGTGAACAGAAACCGGGTTAGAGAGGAGACAGTATCAGTAGTCCTGAGGTTGTTTCCTGATATGTTACTTACGTTATTTACCTTCTGCCAATTGCTCCATGTCAGTTAAAATGCATTTTGCCCTGGGATTTGTAGGGACACAGCAGTCAGAATCAAAGGGCTATGGGTTGGGCCAGATACTGCTGGCATCATTTATTTCAGTAGGTGAAAGTAGGAAGAATCAAGTCTGTTCATCCTAATGAGAAATTCCCAAACAAAATGAAGTGGCTTCCACACTAAAGTAGTGCAGATCATGTAGTATATCTGTTTTCCTCTTTCTTTAAAAGGTACATGAACCTCAGTGTGCCTAATGGAAATAGCTATTGTGATGCACACACAGAGGTTCGGTACGAGCTGGAACTGAGACGTAACTAACAAGGATTTTGGCTCGTATCCTGGCACCACTGGTTGGACAAGGATATTGTTTATTTTAGCCCAAGAGCAAATTTCTAGAGTTCTGTCATGCTGGGAGGGGTATCCTGACTTGCATGCTTTGCGCTGGCCCTTAATGGCAGAATCCCAGGCAAGAGTCCATAATTGGTGGAGCTCTGTAGCTGGAAGCTTGGCAGGTACCTGTCTGCCCTTCTCCCATCTGGAAGTGTGCTCTGACAAAAGGAAACAGCTCTCGGAGCTCCAGGAATTAAGCAGTCTTGTCCGGTTGATTCCTTGGTGCTGCTCCGTAAGAGTGCACATACAATAAAAATGACTGCACAGCAGTGGTGACCACGTGCAGCTGAGGAGCAGGGAGCTGCACAACAGCCCTGGGCATACCTGAAGCTGTTCAAGGCTGAAAGTGCAGTTGAATTAGGAGTTGCTCTGTGCAGAGGGGTGGCTGCCAACTATGCCAGGCTATGGCATGTGTGTGTTGCATATCTGCCTCATTCACAACACACACAGGTGAGTTGTTTCTGGCTAGTAACAGGCTTGAAAACCAAAACTGAATTATAGGCCTTCATTAGAAGGGGGAGAGCGAAGGTTAAATTCAGTTGACTTTGCACATTTTTCCTATGTGGCACTTCTTATTTCCTGTTGATTTGATCATTATTCATAGAATCATCTACAGGGCCATGGAGATTGGCACGTGGAGATTTTCATCTCCAGTTTATTAGCAGCTCCCAGCTGAGCACTGCTGCTAGCAGATACTTTTTGAAATTACCTTCCAAAGGTACTTCTTACACCTGAAATGTATGCAGTTGGTGCTGTAACCTGTTGAGAGCTGCCTGAAGATGATACCATGTCTCACTCTTCCCAAAGGATTGTTCATGGGCTTGGTGCTTCCTCCTTGATGTCCCAGTGCCACAGTGAGGGTAACAGGCAGGGATATCAGGAGGGTGGGGATCTGTTCTGTGGTGGTGTAACTGAGACTCACTGTGTCAGGCCCTTAGCTTGAAACCTTTAAAATGAAGTAGGGAAGGTCAGCATGGGAAAAGCCTGGGCAGATGGATGGATCTGTATCCATACACATGGATACAGATGGAATTTTAACAGAAACTTATGGGCCCCTATGACTGAGTGATAATCAGTCAGTAATTGGTGAATTTGCATCCTTAATTAATGAAGGGACACCTATTTATTTGATTGGTTTGGTATTTTAAAGTTTGAGTAATGGCTGGTGTGGATTCTGTCTGTTAGAGCCTGTTGAGTTTTGTAAATTAACTCTGTATTCCATTAACTTGTGTTTGGCTGCCACAGATTTTCCAAGAAGTGGTCTCCAAAGTTGTTTTTAATTTCTGTTGGCAGTACTGGCCCTGCAGAGCTACGGCTGATGGGTGTTAGACTGATTTTCACAGTTAGCTCTCTTTATTGGGAGCCAACTGAAACCCACTGAAATAAGCAAGTTGATTGTTTTAAAAGCCTCCTGCTGACAGATCTGTGGAGTGGTAATTTCATCCTGAAGAGCTTTTCTCACTGTCGTTATTAAGAATCGGACACAGCTGTATATGAGGGTTGGATCTCATGTAATCAGGCATCTGCTTATTTTGCTGTTTGCCACCTCTTAAGATCTTACAGGCCCTTGGAAAGTCATACCATCCTGGCTGCTTCCGCTGCGTAGTGTGTAACGAGTGTTTGGATGGAGTCCCTTTCACTGTAGATGTGGAGAACAATATTTACTGCGTGAAAGATTACCATACGTAAGTATGCAAATCCATTGATACTTAGTAAAATTATAGTAGTTAAATTATTGGTATAGTTATACGCCTGTATAAGCCTTATAAACCTTATAATTATAAGCCTATGCAAGTTGTAGATAAAAAGGGTCATTCCTGTTTGCTCAGATGTCTAAATGCTGCTCTCACACGTTGGCATTTGTAGAGCTTTTTAAAGTTATATAAAAGGTCACTTCCTGGGCCCCGCGCAACATACAGTCGCCAAGTGAGGTTGAAAATGTCAGAGGATGTACTTTTCTGGTGGCTGTTTCTCTACTTCTTTTAGGACTTTCAGTATTTATTAGATCAGTCTAATTCTGCAAGTGATGTTAAGTTTTTACTGGCTGTTCCTAAGAATTGACTTTCTGGTAGTACATGACACTGGTGAGTGTAAATCAGGTTAGTTTAGACTGGACAGTAGACATGTAATTAGCAGCTAGTGTTAGAATGATTACGGCCTCACCTGACAGAAAGTTTGTGGTTTAAGTGATGGCATTTGGACTCCTTTCTCCTGCTCAAAGGTAATGTGCTGTTAGCTCCAGTCAACCAGTAACTCAGCTTATGCTGCAAGGGTACTCAACTCTATTGGTACCAATGTGACTGTTACAAGGATAGAGTGAGTGTTCGCCCAGTTGCTGTCATAAAATGCAGCTGTAGACAGTAAGACCAGTTGATGTGTTTGGTTTAAGTAGAACCTAGCCACGAGCAGCCCCTCTTCTATTTAGCATAGTTATGTCTCCCTGGCATCAGTGACAATCCCCAAGTCAGGAGCTGCTTTGCAGTCAAAGCACTGAATCTCTGGAAGAATTTGAATGACTTTGAGTAAAGGTAGGTAAAAGAAATGGCATATGTGGGAAGAGGGCTGGGTTCACTATGCCTAGTGGTCAGGAAGAGCTAAGCAATAAAGCTGGACTAGCATTGGTCTCCTTTTCCCCTGAGTATCATCAAACACTTAGAGTAGTTTTGAATCCTGTGGATCTCCATTTTTCTAAAAATAAGGCATGATTAGAATAGGTCTTTTGGTTGTACTTTTTGAAGAAGCTTTAAATGTGATTTGAACACTTTCTTCTTGCACCCTAGGGTTTTTGCACCAAAATGCGCTTCCTGTAACCAGCCGATCCTCCCAGCACAGGTACATGTTAGCATGCATCAATTCTTTAGAGAAAACAGCTGTTGGCATATGAACACTTTCTAAAAACACATTTGATGCTTTTCTTCCTTCTCCCAGAATCTATACTGTCAGATACTAAATTAAATACAGTTCAGAGTAATGTCACTCCCGAACATTCAGAGAGGTTGTAATAGTCATACTACTTATGCAGCTTAGCACTTTGTATCTTTAGGGTGCTTTCCAGCTCTTAATTATGCTGTTATAAATCTCATTTAATTGAAAGCTCTGACTGGGCCTCCAAGAACAACCCAAGAAGCCTTGCTTATTTTTAGAATCTCCTATTAGCTCAAGTAGCAATTTTCCTTGTCTGCTGCATCTGCATTTCTGATGTGGATCTGTTAAGATGCTCAAACTTGAAAAGGCAGCTGAGGGTTTACCCTGACCCTGTGAGAAGGCCACAGAGTCTCTTGTCCTGTGGTGGCAATGAAATAAAAGTGCTTACAAGGGTTGAGAAGGCAGCAGAAAAGTTGGCTGAGAGGGAAGCCAGGTGAAGATGATACTTGCAACCTAAGCCTATCCTGACAGGATAGTTAGCATGATAAGACTTCTTCATTAAGACATCCCTTTTCTGCCTGCCTGCAGTGGTGGTCCCTCAGACTCTCAGGGTGCAGGACCCATTGCTGAGGTCACTTGTAAGCAGGGGCCTTAGCACCTCCCTCTTTTTCCTCTTGTCAAGTTTATAGAGCCAGAGCTTGCATCCTATAAGCTGCTATGCCTGGCACTAGAGCTTCTCAGCATGCCCAACTCCATCACTCTGTATGTTAGTCTCATTTGTCATTATTATTTCTGTTACATGGGCAGGTCTCACATAATTAAAAACCTCATAAAGGCTGAGCCAGAACTGCTTGTTCTGGTGATGGGATGTCAGGAGAAAACCCCTCTGTAAATTTCACTGGATTTGTGTCTTACAAAATTAGTTAAAAATAAAAAAAATAAAGGGGGGAAAGAAAAAGCAGTGCTACTGCTGACTCATGTGATGGCTAGCAGGGTAGACTCCACATTCTTTCCCATGGAGGTTTCTTAGGTAGTTCAAGTCTAGCAGTGCAGGTACTAACTTGCCCGTAGCTTCTCTCAGACATAGTCTACGTCATATCTGATGCTTTAAACCACACCTAGAACTGGAAACAATGAAAGGCAAGAGATTTAATGAGCTCTGGCTTCAGAGCAGATCAGGGAGTCTGTGAGGTTACAAGAAGGGTATAGGCTGCTTTGCAGGGCCTGTGGCTCAGCCAGGAATTACACAACTCTACCATATCCACTCTCATGCTGAGGTTTTGGCTGATGCACATAATTACCTGCTGGACTGGTATGTAGCTCCCTGTGGGGTACATACAGTGACATGTGCATGTGCAAAATAGCTGTGCAGCAGATGGTTTGAGGGGAATACAAGTCCTGGAAAACTCAGGCCAGGATGTCCACAAAGAAAAGTTACCTAGTCAGCATATCATAGGTTTTGGCTGGTAATTCATTCAGAACCTGAGTGCCCTTGGAAAATTATTTGATTTCAAGACTAGTTTCTCCCTTGAGGATAAAGTATTGGCTACACTTCCCAAATGACTTCTACAGCTTAGATATGTCAGACACGCATGCTGCTCCTTACATGAAAACCAGGGGTGCACCAGGGACGAGACCTCCAGTGGTCACAGAGCCCTGCTCTGCAAAGGAGGAGGGATCCCCCAGGGAAGCAGCTCTGCAAAGCAAAAGATTGGGCACTGGGAGAAGATGGAGGAAACACCACTTACAAGCCCCCTCTTACCTTCTTTCTGCTTCTGCAATAGGGCTCTGAGGAGACCATTCGGGTGGTGTCAATGGACAAAGACTACCATGTGGAGTGCTATCACTGCGAGGTAAGCGTTTGGCCCAACCCACGGCAAGGCTTTGCTGATACCTAGCAGCCTCTTGGTAGGTGCCTGACTCGCACCCCAGGGTGCACTTGGGCAGGTAGGGCTCTGCCCTGTGGCTCCTGGAGGGAGGCATGAGTGCTAGCTGGTCTGCAAGTGGTGCTGCCATCCCCAGTACCATGTTTTGGTTTAGTAGAAAATAATAGGGATAGCACTGTATTGCTTTTTGGGCAGTAGTTCCTTTTTTGTGCAGAAAATTTAGACTTCTACTGAGCCAGATTAGGTTGTGGGATTAGTGCTCTTGCTTTGGAGAGAAGAGCTGAGTTCAGTCGTAGCTGTGCATCCAGAGGCATTAGGAGGGAAACAAACTGTTTAATTTGGAATCAACCCAAAAGATTGACACAGATCCTACCTGTCTTAGCACCAGAGGCAGAAATGCAGCAATATTATCTTCCATGCATTTTTGCACAAAAAAAAGTTTTACAAAGAGACTTCTGATTGAGGGAGAAAATAACAGAATTTGGAGTATCTTGAAAAGTATATGAACATAGGTGTAAGGAAGACCCCTTCCACTTGGCTCTCTCCTTCCAACAGAGATACCTGGTACTTCATCCTTTTTTCTATTAAATTTTGACAAGAAATTGGCACAGGAAATTGCACTATTTTGGAGAGCTGTACTTACCTCCTCCTTCTTCCCCCATCTAGTGCTTTGTGCAGGCTTCACCTAAAATGACAGCTCCCTCCCCTTCTCTCTCAGGCTATTGACTTTATGTTAGAATGTCCCAATGGGGGTTTATTTTCTGTTCTGTTTCATTATTCATTTACCCATTCTCTTTCCAGTTTGAGGCAAATCAAGCTGCCTGCACATCTGCCCAAAATGGCAGATTGCATTTATGTACAGAAGTCAGGGGTTAGCTGTGTGTTAACACGGGTAGGTTACTGCCTCATGGTCTCAAATCAGGCTCTCAAACTACATTCTGGGTCACTGCTGTCCTGGAATCATGCTACAAAAGGTAGTGCCAGTATATTGAGGTATTCACATGGAGACTTCTGCAAAGTCTCTGACCAGCCACTTCTGAAATACTGTTGAAGTCATCATTACTGGTGGCCTTGCAAAGGCCAGTGGGCAGTGATGAAACCTTGCTGCTTTTCTCTACGATCTCTTTCTTGTGTAATCACTTAAGTTATGCTGAGAAGTTTAAGTAGGGTTATAGATCAGTAGGCCCCCATTCTAAAACTGCATGTGTCCAATTAAAAACTTTGCATCAGTTTTCAATACTAAAATGACCTATATGCCCAAATAATAATGAGGACAACTGAAAACCAGGATTGTCTCTATTGCAGCATGCATAACAGCAGGCAGGATCATTGTTTGTTATTCTTCTTTTTATCTCTGTTCCTCCACTGCTTTTTCACCCATTTTGTCCACTTGTGCTCCTCCATTTCTTGCTGCCTTGTTGTAGAGTTGGCTCCTTCTCATTCCTAACCTCTTCCAGATTGTATGTGTCAGGGTCAGTCCTTGGCCTGGTTTGGGTTGGTGTTTTTTTTTTAGTTTGATTTGCATCAACATTTTTTAGATAAGAGACCAGAATGGAAAACAACAGCAAAAAAAAATGCTGCATACCATTATAGACTGTCCCGTTTGATTTCAGCAATGTCATTTTGCTTAATATGAGATAGTCACAGTCCACCTGCAGAAAATTCTTGAGGTTGCTGGCTTCAGAGGCTGGGTAGATCAACATTGTTGTGCGATGACATGTGAATCACTCAGTAACATGAGATGTATATGTTTCTTCTAGGATTGCGGCTTGCAGCTCAATGATGAGGAAGGCCATCGTTGTTACCCATTAGAGGGCCACTTGCTCTGCCATGGCTGTCATATCAGGCGCCTTAATATTAAACTGCCATCACATCCACCTCCGAGCTATCCGATGCATGTCACAGAACTCTGAAAGACATTTCCATTACCAATAAGCTGTTTGAAAGAGAAGACAAATATCTAAAAATTACTTTCCTTCCCTTTCCTTTAATGATGAGATTCCAGTAATAACCGTCAAACCAGCTATTTATTTTTTAAATCAGAGGTGAGGGGTCCTTTTCTGATCTTGTACATATGCATTCTTTTATCTAGATGCTTTCACTGAGACACCATCTACTTGAACAAATAATTCAGCACTAAACTGTAAATGTAAATGGCAGCATTTCTAAAAGCAATGGTACAAAGGGCTGCTCTGCACTCCCTATTCACTTTATTCCAGTGGGGATTTCATCCAAGTAAGGAGTGTTGAAGTACTTTCCAAAAGTTAGCACCTTATCATATTGCAGCAAACTTGGTAAGATAGATACTAGTATTTTAGCTAGCTTTGTTGAATTCTGGTCTTGGAGAATACAGGCTCACATTTTTTAAAACTTACATTCCCAAAAGTAGGTAACAGGAAGTAAACAAGTGTTTTTAGTAAGGACAGTTTTCAGTAGGGGTTAAATAATAGCATTCTCTAAAGTAGAATCAGGCCAGCTTTCCGTCCTACAAGGTTCCACAGTCATCCAAAGAAGTGTTGAAGAAACATAGCAAGCATCTCTCAAAAACTACGTTACAGAGGATTATATCCAAAAGATTGGTACATGCAAGGTCATAACAGTTGAAGAAAGTTACAGAACTCTGTAATTGCTTGCTGTGTACAGCTGTAGGCATGGTTTCAAAATGCATTCGTATCAGCTTGATGATTTGGCACTTAATAAGGAATTCATCTTTCAAAGCTGTTTTTGTTTAATAGGGTTAGCTGCCCCTTTCTATGCAAAGGTACACTTGTATTTATGCTACTTGTTTTATACAAGACTCCATTTTTTACCAACTGCTTTATGATTGTATGTTGATACATTATTAAAAAAAGAGGGGACAGTGTTTTTTGTATTTTTTTTCAGCTTTGTGTTCTTTTCTAGATGTACTTTTGAACTGATTATGGTGATTATATTAATTGGAAAACAAAGTCCAGTTTAGCAGAAAAATAATTCAGAGAGACCATTTAAACATTGGTATTTTACAACAAGTATTAGATGTACATAGAATGTACACACTTTCATGTTTTGCATAAGCTTTTACAGTAACCTCAGAGCTCTGGGGAAATATATGTCTTCCATATAGGAAGTTAGATGAATCTTTTTTATGGTTTGTTTTCTACCATGTGTTGATGATTTACATGCAAATCACACATCTGTATGTTTAAAAAAATTCCCTGCATTCTCATGAGAATTAATCCAGCCTTCCTGAATTCAAATTTTAAATAAATCCATCATTGCTGTCTTCAACTGTACCAAAAATTACAGTAAAATAAAATTAGTCTGCTCCAGAGGAAGTGGAAATACCAGACCAGATTCTCCCCATCTGTAAACTGGGACATTTCCATGACAGTTCTCAAAACATTGAGATTTTGATGGATCCATTCAGAAATGATCCCATGTTAAAGTCAGCATGCAGACTGGTAAAATGACTTATTTGGCAACACCATTGCTATTTGGTTCCTTATGCTCCATTGACTTTCTGAAAGCCCCTCTCAAAAAATGCAAAGAACGTCCAATGGACACTAATTCCTAAGTGGAATAATTAACTCCCTTAGCAGAACTTTTTGGTAGTCTGGAATTTCCTTAAGGGAGAAAGGGAGGGGCAGGGACAGTTCCTGTGAACTTTGTTTTTTTCTGTTAGTAAGGAACAAAAGGTATGTTTTCTGAACTTTTGCCAAACTTCCATTGGCCTAGATTAACCTGTCCTACTGAATGCTCCTTGGCAAGTCAGATGCTCTTTTAAAAAGTCATTTTCTAATTAATACATATCAGTTTATAATTAGCATATTTAATGTGACAGACATGTTTTCTAGTAACTACAGTGCAACTAGTGCCTCTTTTCTACCGTATGGCTTAAGAGGCCTGCAAAAGAGAGGACATTGGGTGCATGCACACTTTTTCTGCATTTGCAAATGTTACCTCGTGTGTTCATAATCACCAGCCCAGCCTCAGCAGGAAGTGGAAGTACATGTGTGCCTCTTGCCCAAACAGCAAATGCTAGAAAAAAGGAGAAAAAATGCCTTAAATTGGAGTGTATTACTATTTAAGTTCTTTAAGATTATTACAAACATGGAAGATATCAGAGCTTCAGGAAACAGTTTTTAGCATCAGCTGCAGTGTAATACTTTTTCCATGTAAGGAAGCTGCTTTGGACCACATTTAGCTTTGAAGCATTTTCACTTGCTTGTCTTTACAACATATATTAAGGGACCCAAATTAAGTGGCAAGTTTAAGTTTCCACTGCAACGTAGTTTTCAAGGGACAGCACACTAGCTAACATGTACGTACCATACCTTTTCTTCTTTTTTGAAAGCAATCGTACAGTAGAACAGAATAATATTTTATTTCATTTCACATGTTAATTTGTCAGTCTCTTCTAGTTCTCAGTTGTATTAAGTATCAATACTTCAATATAGAGTAAGCAATTTATTTAAAACCAGAAAGCAGCAGTTCTTATTCCAGTATTTTCTATAGACAAGTGCATTCCATTACTGTATAACAAAGTACAGCTTTGCTTTCCCAACTTCTAGTATAAAAACAAGCTTGAGTGAAAATTGCCAGTTGGGTTTTTTAGGCTTTTTTCAATCAAAGAGAAAAATAAAAGCAATGATGTGCTGTACTCTTTTTTTTGTGCTAGTGATAGTTTCTGCACATTTTACCTCTTGTCTGGGGATTTATGTAGATGTAAAAACTTCTCTTAATGACTTTCTTACAGAGTATTCTTATGTTAAATCAGTTCAACACAGATGTAAACTTTCTGTAGTTCATTTTATGATGTGATTGTTCTTCAGAAGCCTTTGCTGTACTTTCAGACTATTTCCATAAAGTTAAAACAATAACAACTTGTTCTCATTTGCATCAGGACAACACCTTTCCATTCTGGTAATGAATGTTACAAAGTCCCTACAGCACAAAGCTGTTGTAGGCAATTCAAGAGTCCCTCATGCACTGGAGGACGCATTCCAAAGAAAGAACCAAAATAATAAGGTGAAACAAAACAAGAATGCACTCAGATAATTGAGCTTTCAAAGAGGGTTTGTTTGGGTTTCTTTCCTTTTCCTTTAATTTGTGTGCACGTGTGTGTATGTATTTTGTAAGGCGGAGCTTCAAAAGAAAAACGTGGTTAGAGGAGCTCTTTAAGACCAGAAATTCCAGAATAGTAAAGTAAACCAAAGCTCTAAAGGGGACAAAAGCTGCTTTCTTGTGTTTCAAGAAAAGTTTAAAAGTTTGTGATTCATCCTGTAACTAATGCCGTAACTAGAGTATATAATTTGACTTAAATTAAGTTTTCATTTAAGAAATATTTTCATTTTCTTTAAAAGAATATAGTTTTCTTCCAAGAACTTGGACCAACATTGATTTTTATTTTGTAGGAAATATATAAATTCCCAGTTTGTATATCATGTAACTAGTTTACATGCTGAAAATATACATTAGTTTAACTATTTTTGTATATATATATCCTTGTAAAACCTTTCATTGTGCTTCTGATTTAGTCTTTAGAATTACTTGTGGTTTTGTGTTTCAATGTTTGATTCCCTTGATTGTTGAAGAAAAAAATTGGGAAATGTAGATTTATTTATCTAAAGAAGAAGCTACTTCCTATCATTCTAAGTTATTTAATATTAAAGTCAGAAGTTTCATTTAACCTTAGATGCTATAATCTGCTTTTTTTCAATAAAGACACTTTGTAGTGATCTTTGATTTTGTAGTAGTTTGTTGCATATAAATTGGTTTGTTTTTTTTTTTTTTAATCTAGGTGGGTACTAAAACAATTTTCAGGAGACCCCCTGTATTGCCTACAGAAATGCCTAACTGATATTAATTGATCACAGCTGCATTCATGAAAGATTCTGGTCCTCCAGTGGAAGTGTTACTAATTAATGTCTAAAATATCCCCACAGCTAACATTTTGCAGCTGCACTTAGAAAAGAATTTAGCCACTCTGGCAATTTCTAATTAAGCTTTAACCAGTCTGGCTAGTTCGCATGTGGGACAGTCAGTATTGAGGAACACTTCCTTCTCAAGGCTCACATCATTTTTTGGAGTGTTCCAGAAGAGGAGTGTTGTCTGGGCTATGAACTTGAATAAAGCACTCAGACGTTGAGGGGACGGGGTGGGGGCAATTTTATCAATATTCTCTCTAAGTCACAGTAATTCAGCCAGAGCTCTCATAGGATCAAAAAGATGGTTTTTTTTTTATATATATCTTACCTTTATGAAAAGCCTTGCCTCTTTCTCGTCTCCACCTTCATGGCACAGATGGATTACATCTACGTTCTGCACAGTGGTCCTGCAAGAGCAGCTCTTATCTGTCAAGGAAAAGGTTCATCAGCGTTGGTATCTTGTCTCCAACTATGGTCAGAAGTGAATGCCCACATAAAGAGTACAATAACCAGTTTCTTCCTGGTTTCCTCATGTTTAGTGGGTTTTCTTTCCATTAAGCTGGTCAGTTTACCACGCTTGGGGATGCTTTTTCCTCCAGTGACTCGCAGAGTCCAGATACTCACAAGCTGTTACTTTAGCGGAGGAAGGGCTGCTCTGCAGCACTCTCACCCTGGCTTTGCAAAGTACAACTGCCTTCACATTTGGAAATGGAACTTTCAGGCATTTTTACACAGTGGCTATTTTGGCAAATTTGTCTTTTGCACAGTCAGAACAGAAGGAGTTATAAACACCACAGTTGTGTCAGGGACTCAGTCTGTGCTTCAGAACAGATGTATGCAGTTCTGTAGGGCCTTCACACACATGCTGTTTTCTCACTATGCTAATTTTTTAAAAAATTCATTCAAAACAATTCATACCCTTGAATTAAAAAAAAGTTGGGGGAGGGGAGAGGGGCTAAGGCTGGCCAGCTGAAAGCATTTTCACAGTTCCTTACCACAAAGGTGACACAAATGTAGTCAGTAGAATCTAGGACATAATGTACTAAGAATTTACACCAACCCATAACAAGCCTGGTAGAAAAGAACAGAGTATTTAAATATATTAACTGCCCCTAATGGGCCTCCTTGCAGGAAACACATACTGGAAAATGAACGTACATTCACTGCAGGAAGGCTGTGAGTCAGGACGTAGCTCCCAGAGGGGAGCACCACAGAAGTCCACAGTGTTGTAGGACTCCCTGGCATGGCATCTGAGCCACAGGGAAGTGTGTAACTGGAAGCTGTTGCATGACGAATGGTTGCTAAATCTGGCATGCAGATTATTCAGGAGGGCTTTGTGAGGCTTCACCTTACCAGATGTTCCCGGGGTCTGCACAACTTGGACATTGGGTAGGACACATCAGTCGTCTCTGGATGCCTAAGCTAGACATAAAAGTGTCACACATGAGGCAGAGGGCATGATTTCTGGAATAAATTGCAGGTCACGCCTCAGTCATCGCTATAGCGCTCATCACCAGTTGAATTACGTATTTCAAAAGCTATGGACTTAACCACAATTTTGGGTAAAACTGCAGAAAACAAAAAATATTTTCTTACTGTTCAAATTTAAGATCCTATCCTAGTGCTCAGTGCAGTTCTCACCATCTCTTCACTTAACACTAGGACAACAAAAAGAAGATACCATATTGTTTAAGAGCACATACCTGCATTTTTCCTGTTCTGGCAGTTTTTGTCTCATCAGAAGAAAATACACTGCATTAGATAGATAACATAAATCACCATACTCACATAACCAGCAAAGGAGAAGTACAAACTGTACAAAAAGAAAGAAACCATATGGAGAGCTGATTTTCCAGTAGTGATAAGTATCTATCCAGCAATAAATTTAACAACAAATTCTTAAAGGTTTGTCTCATGGCTGAAAAAAATCCACAAAACCCCATATTTGTATGTGCACATCTGGGAAGTCATCACCTCGGAGAACAAGTACTGCATTGGTTAGTTACAGTAATTCAAGTGCTTAAACGGGCTGTCCAAAATGGGCTGTTCATTAAAAATTTGGCACATTTAAACTATTGCAGGAATGTTAATGCCAACTGATCAGTTAATTACTGGCTGCTCTGGTGAGGCACAGGCACCCCTTGGTGCTTCCAGGCATAGTAAGGGAACAGTGACATGCTCAGTTCCCAACTGGTGTTGTTCAGAAAAAACAACAAGGTTCAGAAGAAAACCAAGGAAGCTAAGGTGGTTCATGCTAAGTGTGAGTGTCTCATACCTTCTGTAAGACAGGGCATTAGAATAGGGCAGAAAATTATTGTCAAGCTGTGTCTCTTATCACGTAAGTTCTGCAGCTGAAAGCTTCATGAGCCAAATGTGACAAGCTTACCAGAGGGGAAATAAAGCAGCAGTAAATTTTGTTCTGGGAAGGGCAGCTATTGTGTGACTCTGGTCTCACCAAAGTGCCTTTACCTGTAGTTTGCAAAAGTCACACGCTGTGTGTAAGGATGGATACAGCAATAGAGTAGGGCAAAAAATGAATCTGGCATGTGTGGCAGGGTGCAACGCTGGGGAGAGAGCAACAAAACTTATCTTCAATACCTGCAAGCCACATGTTTAAACTGTACTTACTGCTATTAGTGGACATGGCTCCCAGATTTTTTTTTTCACAGATCGTCTTTAAAGTGCTGAAGTAAAAAAGGACACCAGAAACTGCTGAGTGTTGTCCAAGAGGATTGTGGTGGCACTCCTCCACACCTGGGCTTACTTTGGATTTGGCCCTTTTCCTCCTACATCAGAAAAAAGAATAGAAAAGAAAAAAATCATCACAGCTTGATGCACATTCACTTTTCCATTCCTTATTAGGAACTTTATCCCCTTCCACTTCGAAGCAAGGAAGAAGAGGAAGACAACACCCTGCCTGGCACAGGGCTCTTGACCTGGCTGCTTGCCAGTGGTCACTCTGTCACACATGGATTCCTCTTATCAAAATAGCAAGTCTTGGTCCAACAAACACTTTGGCCACTTTATACACACTATTGCTTCTAGCAATGCTTTATCATTTGGAATAGATCATTTGCTACCTACATTCCCAACCCATAAAAGCTATACCTACAGTTTATATAGCTCATTATTCTTTTATCACCCCAATATACCACACTTAATGGTAAAAATAACAGACATTCAGCTGCAGTAAGATCTGCCTTTAGTTGGTTACAAACATTATTTCATTCTCTAATTAAATAAAAAATATGTTTGCAACCTTTTTAAATAACTTACTTGCCTTGCATCAGCTGCTGGCTGCTCTCTTGCTAACAGCACATTTTTCCAAGCTCTGGACCAAAACCATGTTTTTTTTAAAGCCAGAAA